GTCGAAAAGATGGCGCCTCCAACTGTCCCGCTACTTCCCGACAAGAGAAATGGAACAAACAGTCACGGCTCCCCGGCCAGAACTAAAAAAACAAGTGAGTAATCGACATCAACACTGCAGCTGTTGAGACAAAACCAAATGTCCCATCTCTCGTTCCGTCTTGGCGATTATAGCTGCGACAAACACAGACAAGAAGCCCCTGTTGAATGGAATTGCGTCGCCTTCACACTTGGTTGCGACCATCAGCACCAACCCTGCCAGCAAACCAAGTAAGTGTCACTCTTATAGTGTCACATTCTTATTTCATCTGCAATTAACCTCTATTGATTCCCCGCTGATATTTCTACCGTTCAGTTGTGGAGGGATTTTTGAAGACAGATGACAGGATGCGTTTAGCCAAAGAGAGACGGGAGGAGAGGGACAGAAGCCTTGGTAAGAAAGCTTTCTGTTTTCAAGCACAGGTCACATCATCTAATCGTTTCTGTATTTTTCAGTCTCTCTGAAATGGCTTTCGGATTCCTATTCTGACATTTGCCCCTCACTGCCTAATTGCTTTGCCAGTAGGACATTTAGTCTGAGCGCCCTGGCTCGCTGACATGATGAGCTATGTCAGACTTCCGCATCTCGTGTAGCCCACAGAAACGGGTCTCCGCAGATAGCGCTGCATCTTGATTCCCTCAGAAATTCTGGGTTAATACTGAATTGAAATAACTGTGAAATTAATGAAAGACTACGATGTTGGAATGGAAGGTCGCCCTTTCACTCTTTATCGTTATTTTTTGACACGACACATTGGGCTTCACCTCTTTCAGCGGCACGGGAGCAGCTGATCCGGGAGAAGGAGCGACGATCTCAGCTGCAGTACGAGCGCACGGTGGAGGAGCGCTGGAAGCGGCTGGAGGAGCAGAAGCACAAGGAGGAGCTGCGCCGGGCTGCGGTGGAGGAGAAGCGAAGACTGCAGCTGGAGGAGGAGAGGGTCAGCTGAATACAGAGCATCCTAAGAAAAAAAAAA